ATTTTAAATCAAGAGTGGCTAAAATGGATTGTTTTTCCAAAAGAGATCTCACGTCAAATGTAGAGGTGAGAATATATGATTTCTTCATATGTCGCATTGTAATTTTAGAATGGAATTCAGCATATTGTAATTTTCATGGTCTTTGTTGCATTGGGAAGCTTACCTATTAAATGTTGGTCAGACCTTTTATGCTTTCTTTGTGTCTCTGTATTTTTCATTTTTTTTAGTACCGGGATCAAACTCTGGCCCTTGTGCTTGAGAGGCAAGCAGCGGAACCACTGAGCTAACAACCCCTGTCTTTTCTTTCTATAATCCATGAGGAATACTAATGGTACATCTACCTCTTTAAAGCACCTGTTGGATTATTTTGCTCTGTGACTGACAATACTTTCGGAAGTGTCTCCTTCATATGTCCTTCTGGCATATGAATTCTTCCACATGCCATTCAGCATGCCCCTGCTCTGTGTCCCAAATTTATTTTTCAATTATTTTCTTTTATTCGTATTTGTGTTTACTTACATTTTATTTTTCATGCTGTATAAGTCAGAGTGCTTTGGAGGAACAGAACCAATAGGATTATGCGTGTGTGTGTTTGTGAGTGTGTGTGTGTGTGTGTGTGTGAGTGTGTACATCTTCAGGAAACCCCTATTTTCCCCCGAAGGCCTTCAGGTGATGTGTGTGTGTGTGTGTGTGTGAGTGTGTACATCTTCAGGAAACCCCTATTTTCCCCCGAAGGCCTTCAGTTGATTATGATTGGATGTGATCTTTCATACTGTTGAGGGTAATCTCCTTTACTTGAACTCAGCTGTTTGTAAATATTAATCACATGTAAAAAACAGTTTCATGGCAGTACCAAGACTAGTATTGAATCAAATAACTGGTCCCATAGTCTAACAAAGTTGATATATTTAACCATCAAGTAGATCTTGCTTTTTTCCCTATTTCATCTTAATTTTTAAGAATTTTTTTCTCTATCTTATATGTATATAACCAACATTCTTAAACTTGTATGCCTTACCAGCCCAGATAATTTTCTTTCTTATTTGCCAAGTCATTACTGTTCACTACATCCCTAAATGATAATAAGGACCTGTGAAATTCTGTAGAAGGATGCATCACTTTTATAGCATTCATTTCATGCTGCCTGGCACTGAATGTATTTATGTGAGGCTTTTATACTCTGTGGGAGCACTGAGAGTCTCAAGGACCAGGGCAGTAGCACATATGTCTTTGAAATCAAGTTAATATATAATACATACACTGCTCTACACAAAGGTGCTTAGAATTTTGTTTGGTGAAGTGCACAGTGCTATTGTAGTCCATTCTTAACCTCAAAGAATTATAGACACATCCTGCCATACAATAGTAATATGATGTAGAAGAATATTTCCTGAAGGTGATAGACATTCGATCACAGAGAATAGGGTTCATTTTAATGGATGCATATTCGTTTTACTGTCATTAAAAATCTAATCTAACATCAAACCGGTGAATTCTCAGATACTGAAGTTTAAAATAGAATTAACATAGAGACTTATGTTGGGCTTTGATTGATTATTAAATAAGTAATTGTGGGTCAGTATGTAATTATGACAATGTTTTGAAGTAGCAATTGAGGATTTGTTCATAAAAATCTTTTCCTATGCCAATGTCTTCAAGAGTTCTGCTAACTTATCTTTCAGCAAGTTTAGTGTTTCTGTTTTAATATTTATATCTTTAATCCACTAATCCACTTGGATTTTAATTTAGTGCATAGGAAAAGATTTTATGAACAAATCCTCCATAGCACGGGAATTAGCAGAAAGAATAACTGGGATCTCATCTTATTAAAAAGCTTCTTCACTGTAAAAGAAACCATCAACACAAGTAAGAGACAATCTACAATGTGGGAAAAAAATTTTACCAGCTGATCCTCAGATAAAGGACTATTATCTAGAATATATAAAGAACTCAAAACAGTCAGCCTCCCCCCAAATATAAAGACCCAATTCTAAAGTGGGCATCTGAAATGAACAGACATTTCTCAGACAAAGAAGCAAAAACAGCCAGTAAATATATGAAAAAATGTTCTACACCACTGGTCACGCAAGAGATGCAGATGAAAACAACACTGAGATTCCACCTCACCCCACAAAGAATGGCTGCTATCAAGAAATCAAACAATAACAAATGTTGGCGGGGTTGTGGGGAGAAAGGAACCCTTCTCCATTGTTGGTGGGAGTGCAACCACTAGGGAAATCAGTATGGAGATACCTCAAAGAGCTGGGCCTAGAGGTTCCATTTGACCCAGCCATCCCTCTGCTGGGTATCTTTCCAAAAGAATTAAAAGAATCATATAACAGAGATATATGCACACTTATGTTTATAGAGGCACAGTGTGTAATAGCGAAAACTTGGAAACAGCCCATTTGCCCATCATTGGAAACTGGATAAAGAAGATGGGGTTTTTCTATAAAGTGGATTATTACTCAGCCATAAGGAATGAGAAATTAGATTCATTCATAGGAAAGTGGATACATATTGAGGGTATACTCCTAAGTGAAATAAATAAGTCACACATATGTAAATACCAAATAATTTCTCTGGTGTGAATAAACTATAATAGTACTTAAGATCCTAATAATATAATGTACAATGTGAAATAGGAAGAAAGGGGCTAAAGGTGTAGGGAAAGTGGGAAGGGTAGGGGAAAGGTAATAAGGGAAAAGAAAAATATGAGAAAATGAAAAAATGGAAATGAAGTGTTTATAAAGGGAGAGGGAGGAGGGGTGAAGGAAGGGCAGGGACAAGGGGAAAAAATGAGAACCAAGACCTGTCATGTAAAGGTACAAGATCCCAATAATGAATGTAACAGTACTGTATACCTAAAATGCACCAATAAACTCAATGAGGAAAAATAAGTAGCAATTGAAGAAAATTTGGTTTTTGAAACATTTATGTTATGTAATCCTAGGATGGAAGTGAGGATTTGTGAAATCATATACTCCCTTTCTCACACTCTGTGTAATCTGGATACATTTTATCTCTCATCCTCTGTATGCTGCTTTTGCACAGGTATCTTATTATCTTCTAACTTTGTTACTTATGTCTCTAAATGCATTCAAACCACATCATAGATGCTACAAAAGTGGAAGTAACCTGGCCTGTAGACTAATCCCAAATAGGTTTTGTACATATTGAATGAAATAGGACACACAAATCTGCCTGTAGCAGGCACAGAAAGAACATCCTTTAGCTTGGAACTGAGACAAGTAGATTTATGATCTAATCTTACTTATTCTGACATTCCTGTTAAATAGATGTCCCTGATCCCCTTGCCATTCTACTCACATTTCTAATGTGCTCATAGTACCTCAAGGTAATCATGATCATTTGCAATTATAAGTGCCCTGTTATCAATTAATTTGCAGTTCACCAATAACCATCTGATTACCTCTTTCAAAGCTGCACTGACATGGCAATTACATTGAGAGTAATTATCATGTAATTGCACATAATTATTTGTACCTTATTAAGTGCTCAGATGATTAAAATATTTCTGGTCAAATAAAAATTATCCGTGTGCCTAATTTTGTTTTGAAAAATAAGTAATGTTGCATCTTGGTTTTATCTTCTTTGGATAAATAAAGTAGAATTGTCTTGTTCATTTTACCATAAATCTCAGAAAGGATGAATTGGTAAAAAAAAAAAGGAGAAACTTAAATTTTATCAATATAATTCTTGGTACATCCAATGAAGTTGAAATAATAAACTTCAGCTTTTAGCATGGATGAGTGCTTTCCCTGTTGTAGCTATAACAAAAAATATTACCCTGTGAAGAGTGTACACTATGAATGTCATTGAGGACAATGTGTTTTTCATGTCCAGTATGACCATTAACAATTTTACATTGGACTTTTTTTTCTCATTGTATTCTCTCATCAAAATCTTTACTGTTCAATTCCCATATTCAGTATGTATTTTATTTTTTTCAAGAGCTATATATAGTAGCTTTTTCCAAATTTGTTTTTTTCAGATATCCCTTACAGAACAACTATTCCAGCACTGTTTTCATGAATATTACATGAACTGTGTATACATGCTTACTTTTTCTGGTGCCCACATAAGTCAGCAAGAACCAAGTAATAGTAAATATAGTAATTTAATAGTAGATTTAGTAATATATATATATATATATATATGTATACACATATATATTACTTTAAAATTCAAAGGCAAAACATGTAAATATTATTAATAAAATATTTTGCCCTCTTTTGTAATAAGCTTTAGAAATCTGGTGTTTAACTTTAAACACTTGTCCATTTAGATTGTCCACATTTAAAGTGCTTTATAGCTGCATTTAGCTGATGAATACTGAATTAGGTGGTGCAAGTATATTGATTATATGTATAAGAGAAAAGTATATGTACATGAGAGATGTATGATGAGCTAACAGTTTGCTCTTTGATTATAGATTTTTTGAGTTTATATTTTTAATCTGGTAAAAGGTACATCCAGGCTAAAAAGTTCTCATTTAAAAAAATTAAATTGTTTGCTATAAAAATAGGCATGAGTCTATAACATTTATGAACTGCATCTGTAGGTCACATATGATGTTAGTTATAGTAACATTTATTATATAATTTAATATTCACAGTATCCTTTGTGTATTCCTTTTAAAGATTAAAAAAGTGTGGCTTAGAAAGTTTCACCCTATCAAAGTCATATAGTGATTAGTCCCTAAAGCAATATTTTGTATCTTGTCATTCTTTGACAAAATTTTGTCTCTTGACTTTCAAAGAAGAAATATATATATTTTGAGCCTACTTTTTCACGGATGGTTCTAGGGAGAGGGTTGATGTTCTTTATCCATTAAATTAAGTTTCCCGATTCATGTCTTTGAATTGCACCCTTCTGATACCCAGTTCTAGTAAGTTTAAATATAGCATAAGTTGTCTTCCAGTGGCATTTTAACTGAAAGTTTGCTGTCTATTGCACATACTTATAGAAAAACCTACCTTTGAGGATAACTCAGTGACTGACAGCAGTTCTTTAGCAACCATCTGATTGTAGTTACTGAGGAAGTTTACCTTGGATTGAAGAATCACATGCCATTGTGATTGACAGAGTCTGTAAGACAATCAAGGTCAAATTCAGACTGAATTTAGTATATCTTTATGAGCATTGACAGATAAGTCAAGTGTCAAATATTGCCTAGCCATCTGGTGACTACTCATGATTAGTGTGGACTCACTGTGTTTAACTTATTATTGGGAGCAACTCTGAGAAACTCGTTTGTTTTCAGTTTATCAATGAAATGTGCTCTATCTGCTAACACAAATGATTCTCCCTAAAGTGAACTTGCAAAGCCATCAGCTATATGAGTGCAGTATGACTTTCAAGAAAGTTTTAATTAGATTATTATCATATCTATGTTCTAAAATGTTTTCTCCTCACTTTAAAGTGATTTATGCATTATTGAAAAAATATATTGAGTGCAGAAAATGTCACTTGTGAATCGATGCAGACTTCCTTAAATAGTAATAACAACCAACAACTACATCCAGGGGTTTTATAAACCCCTAGATGTTTATGGAGCGTTGTCCACTTTCTATGCCTAATGTGTAAGTAGTGCAAGGTGATGTTACAGATAAACCATATATAATGGACAAGTGCCTTGTGCGAAACTCTCAAAACTTGTATTCAACAGAATGTGTCAAACATCAGAATTCATGAGTTAACCTCTACCAGCAAATATTTTATTTATTTTTTGGATAAAAATAAAGACAGAGACAAGTGAATTCAATCATCTTTTATCACTTTGTGTAGTGTGAGGCTCTAAGTATCTAGAGTACGAATCTAGTGCTATGTCCCCCCGGAATTTTGCTGTGCTTATAAATGATTAGTTTTAAGTTATGATGGTGTTTGATTTAACAATTAGTATTTAAAAAGCCAAACTTTCTTTTCATTGATGATGAATAAGTGGCCTTCATTCTCTTTTCAACTACCAGATTGTCTTTCTAACTGGACTATTAAAAACATTTTTTCATATTGATCATAGGTTGAAGAAATAAGTGAGGGGTAGTCAAATGTAAATCATCAGATAATGGCACCAATTTAAGTTACAGTGTAGCTGCTTGTTCAAAATATGACATTTCATGATCAAATAATAAGAGTCTTTACATCATTGTCGGTCCCTCTGCAAGGACAGGTATTTAAATCCTGTAGGTATTTACCATATCCACAGAGAATCCTTTCAAAAATGAGACACTTAAGAAAACAATATTATAGAACCAATAGAGCCTAACAAAGTATAGTTTTCTTATCAATTGTATGAAGTTCCACCATTTTTTTTTCTTTTAGTAGCGGGGACCTTGCACCTGCAAGGAAGGTGGGGTGCCACTGATCTCAGTTCCCCGTCCTCCACCCTCGTAACACTTCAGTTCCAATGGGTTTTGGACAAAAGTGCTGACGATGGATTTCTCAGCAAGTGCAGTAGGTGTACCTATTTCAGAATAAGACCAAAGATAGCTAATGATTAGTAAGGAGAAGAGATATTGGCCATGTTTTCCTTATTCATTATTGAGCCCCTCCATTTATTCTATTCCTCATATTCTCTCTCTCTCTCCCTCTCCCTCCCTCTCTCTCTCTCTCTCTCTCTCTCCTTCTCATTCTATCCCTTCTCTTACTTTCTCCCTCAGATTATTCCTCCCTCTCACATTCCCTCACCCTCTCATTCAAAGACAAGACTCCAGATAAATCCACAGTAATACTAATTGAGAAGATAAAAAGTTGTTAATTGTCTTTAATAATGTCTGGAGATACAATATGTGTTATATTTTATGTTAGCACTAAATAACGAGATTTCAAGTTATATCTTTTAATTAAGTAACAAATATATAGTGTCTACCATTGTATTATTAACTGTCTAAATGAATATTTAAATGGTGAAATGACCATAAAAAAGATAATGAATGCAAATCTTATATGTTATGAATTATCCAATTATTCAAAATTATGGGTTAACCCGCTAAAAAAACTATTGAATATGTAATTCTTCATAACATTAATAGAACAAATATGCCTCCCTGCAATACAGGTAATGTGAGAGATACTTTCCAAGCAAAACTTCCCTATAAGTTTGTTTTTGTCCCCATTACGAACTGGAATTTTTGAGATAAAGCCACCAAACCAGCCTGTGTATTTTCTTTTCCTCCTGAATGATTTTGTTCAACTTAAAATGACGGTTACTAACAGCAGGTGATTTCTTCTTTGTTTTGAATTATATTGAACATTCTCTTGGCATTCAGAAGTACTGAAAAATCGGTTTTAAGTGAATCTTGGGTTGAGAAGAACTATATACATATAGTAGGAAGATAAATTTTAGCTCTAGTTAATATCTTCTTGATAGAAAACTTCAATAAATTCAATAGCTATTATTATATATTCAATTTTTTAGGGAATCATTGGGTCTGTTTTCAAAAGATACTTAGAAATAAATAGTTTTAGCATCATATGAATTGTTCTATCTTTGTGAGCAAAATAAAATCTTTAATACCTGCTAATCATACATATGTGTGAAAGCTGTGTTTTTATAATTCTTTTTAAAAAGTTAATTATATCATAACAGTTGGAAGTCTTACACTGAGACATCCAATGGATACAATTGACAGAGTCAAGAAACTATCACCAGAGGACTGTATTTCATAGCATATTTAAGTCTACATATATTTTTCTTGACTCTACAAGGTGAATCTGAAACAATTTTGCACTATGTTTCGGATTTCAAATTTCTTCTCTATTATTTTCTTGGCTCTTTTCATATGAAAAGCAATCCCCCATTATTGAAAAGAATGAATAAGAATTTGGCTTTATAATCTAATTTGCGGTGATTTCTATAAGTAGATTAATGGTATATGGAGATCTGTTCTCTGGTAGATTAGAGACAACAGGGAATGTAGTTATTTTTCTTTATTTACTTGTCCATTTTGACCTCAAAGCATTTCAGTAGTTGCACCTACTGGGAAGATCCTACTCTTTGATATCTCGACTGTATATAATTAGAAATAGTGTTGATCTAGGGGAAAAAAAACTTGCTAAGAGTGTCATGTTTGAGCATGAGGGTCACATAACCCATCCATAGAAGAAAGATTTGATAAACGTTTATGCCAAATGCAGCAGAGTCAGAAGACATGGTTCTCCCATTAGAGGAAACCAACGTTTTTTTGAAAATAGTCTTTTTGAATAAGAAAAACAGGAACTATCCTTCCTTAGAGAACATCCTGCTGAAATATATTTTGTACACATGGACTGAAAACTTTCATAAAAAAGACATTTCCCTTCTAAGAGGAAATGGATAAGGACATTCAGGCACTGCAGAAATGACCACAAGCTTGGCGTCTTACATCTTAGACACCTGTTGTCAGGCTAAACTGGGGACACAGGCAAATTGGGAAGTTTGGAAAGAGAATACCTTAGCCACAGTTGACTTCTTCATGCTATAAATTATGCATGCCTGTATGAGTTGCCTGGTTATGGTTTGAATGTTTGTATCCCCTTCTAAATTCAAGATAAAATTTAATGTAGTGATTTTAAAAGGTGGGTCCTCTAAGAGGTGAATAGTCATGAAACTCTGCCCTTGTGAATGGATTAGTGCCATGTAGGATGGCTTAAGGAATCCAATTCACAACTTTTGTCCCTTTCACCATGTGGTGATACAACCTTCATTACATATGGAGGATGCGACAACAAAGCACCATGATGAAAGAAGAGAACAGTCCTTACCAGACACCAGACCTGCAGCTGGTGACTTGATCTTAGACATCTGAGCCTCCAGAATTGTGGTAAATAAACTTATGTAAATGTTAATGGTTGAATTTGGAAAATAACCAGCCTTGTAGAAGGCTATAAGGATGTAAAAGGCTCAACATGGGTAGCAAAAGCTGCTAGGGAAGGTAGTGGTAACAGGTAGTCTGTGTTATTTTGTTATAACAGCACAAGACTAAGGCATCCCTTCTGCTAAAAAAACCAAAGTCCTCAGATTGTGTATGAACACTAAAGAGGTGGCATTGTAACTCCTGTTCTGCCTAAAGAAAGGAGGACTGTAGTCACAGGATTTTTCAGCCATGAGCTATGCCTGAACTTAATTTCTAATTGTGTTGGCTGTTGTGTTGTCTTTAGTGTGCACACTACTCAAAGTCAGTTTTGGTTTGAATAGGACCTGAGCTCTGCTTGGAGTCTGTCACTGACTTGGCATTCTGTAGGGGACCTTACTGACTTCTCTTTTTTGTTGTTGTTGTTTGCATTGGATGAATCCAGTGAGACAAATGATTTATTCTTTCTTTGAATTTAGTTTTAGAGAATCCTGTCATATTTGGGGAAGAAAAAAGGAGATCTTTTTTTTTTATGCTTTACATTATATTTTTGTGTCAAAGGTGTTTAAGACTCACTTTGTTGGATTCACGAATGAATATGATTTACAAACATTTCCCATTTATTGATTTGTGTATGTTGAACCATCCCTGCATCCATGGGATGAATCCCACTTGGTCAGAGTGTATGATCTTCTTGATGACCTTCTGCATTCTGTTTGTCAGTATCTATCTTAACTTAGCATTTTTGCATCTATGGTCATAGTGAGATTGGCCTATAGTTCTCTTTTTTGGTAGGGTCTTTCTCTGCTTTTGGGATTAAGGTGATGCTTGATCCTGAAAGGAATGAATTCATGAGTATTGCTTCCCTTTCAATATCAATGAAGAGTTTAAACAGTAGTGGAAAAAGTTCTTCTCTAAATGACTTATAGAATTCAGTAGTGAAGCTGTCAGGTCCTAGGTTTTTCTTAGTTGGCAAATTTTTATGGAAATCAATAGGGAGATAACTCAAAGAACTGGGATTAGAGGATTAGGATTTGACCCAGTTATACCCCTCCTGGATATCTTCCCAAAAGAATTAAAAGAATTATTCCACAGCTATATATGTGCAGCCATGTTCACAGCAGCACAGTTTGTAATAGATAAAAGTTGGAAACAGATCAGTTGTCCATTAACTGGAGACTGGATAAAGAAATTGTGTTTTTTAATAAAATGGAGTACTACTCAGTCATAAAGAATGAGAAATTAGAGACATTCATA